CCCCAAAACCCCAAAACCCCAAAACCCCAAAACCCCAAAACCCCGTAAATTATAGCCAGCTTTGATAAATAATATTTAAATATTCCGCGAAATGGAGGACAAAGAATGGGAAGCAAGAAGAGCAATGTTCACTAAAGTTAAATTTGCTGATCCTCTTGTGAAAAGGTAAAGATCTCATCATGCTTTAGAGAAAATTTTATGGTAAATCTTAGAAAGGAAAACAGGAGGAAAATATTTAAGAAGAAGCGCTCAGAGATTCAAGTCCCTTCCCTCTCAGATGCATATGATACTTCAGCTACAGAAGGTGAGGATTATACCCCTTGGGATCCAAACACAAAGGATGTACTAGAGGATCTTTTGAATGTGTTAAAGAATACCTGGGATAAAGGCTATTGATTTGAGGCATGCCATGACAAAAAGCTCCTCACTTGTCTTTCAGAGTACCTCAGTGACTATATAAATTCACCGTCGATTGTTGGTACTCAACAAAAAGAGTTGATAGTGTGTGTCACGCTTAAAATCCTTCTTGATATGACCGCTCTAGAAGGTTATTCTGACACTGAATTTGTAAATTATTCTTATCAAGAGTGAAAGTTTAGCATTTTGCTTCGCAAATTAATAATGAAGGCCTGAGAAGCTATTTCAAATTTAGGCCCTACAATTGGTCATGAGTCAAAGGTAGAAGAGGTTTACAGGAACCTTGGTTTCATCCAGAGATCAATTGCAATCCTCCAAAATTATCTCTGCTCAAACAAGGATAATTTCTATGATGATATTGCAGCATGAGACATGCATGAGTGCTTTCACACAATGTTTTTAGTATTCTCCAAAAATGCACCAGAAATTGAGTATAACTATATGGAAGATACGTATGAACTTTATGCTGATATGATCTACTGAACTAATGTTATGATCCACTCCTTCCCCTCCGACTCTCTAGCTACAAGTTTAGACTGAATTGAGATTATTATAAAGTCAATATTTCAAGGAGCAGGATACTCAGACATCAAAGTTACAAAAGAGAGGTACCAAGACCTAATATTCTCTTGCTGAGCTGCAATTGAGTCCGTCTGCTCAACTCAAGAAGACGGACTTGCTAAATTTTGAGACGAGAAATCTAAAATTGTCCAAATCGTGGAGATTGCTAATGAATGACTCGCTGAAAACAGTAAGGCAAATATCAAAATACTAATTAAAATCAGTAAGCTAATCAAAACTTTGTCTGAAAAGAGTTACGACCAAAAATACGAAGATGCGAAACTATTCCCATGCTTATTCAATATACTTAACAAAGTAAATAATCCAGATGTTGAGGAGTACCTCACCGATGCTATAATCAAGTTCTTGGGAAATTCTCGCCATATCTTGGAAGATTTAAGCAACGCTAAAAATCTGAAGTTTCTCTTGGATATAGGTGCTGGCTCTACTTATCATGCGAAAAGCAACATAGCTGATATTTTCACTGAACTTATGATTCTCAAAAAGTTGAATAGCTTGTGCGATACTCCCAAGAATGAAAGTATAGGTAAGTATTATCTTAAATTTTGGTCTCATATGCTTGTGTAGTAGAGAAATATATAAACTCTCAGAAAGAACTCGTTGATGGAATTAACTCTCTATCGTTCAATATCTTAGAAGACTTCCAAAGTGCAGTTGAAGCCCAAGATAATGCACTTAAGTTAGTAAAATACCTCGTGAATAATGAGCTTGTTGATCCTAGCGAGACCCTCCACAGATTAGAACAAATAGTTCCAGTAAGCACCTCTACAGCAGAAGATATGCTTGAATTTATTGATTTTTACCGTGAGGAGCTGTCTGATTTTGACTATTATTCAGACTAAATTCAATTTTAATTCAATATTCCAAACTAATCTTGGGGTTTTGGGGTTTTGGGGTTTTGGGGTTTTGGGGTTTTGGGG